CTGACAAACATTGGGCGTGCCTTTTACATACCTGGAGGAAACTCCCCCCCCCCAACCGTCCTGCGCCAGAAAGGTGGGAAGAAGTATTCAGGCAACCCCTCTTTGGCAACCGACTAAGAACAGACCCCGAAGGGCGGGTACGGTGCAACTCGGACACTCCATGGAAGGGATGGGTGAAACACGATGTACGGCGAGTTGGGGATTTATGGAACCAGGAGGCAAGGAGTTGGAAGAACACGGGACATATGCGAGCTTGGCTGCGGTACTGCCATCTCACTGAAAAGACACTAAACAAACTCATTGATAGTTTTTCCCTGCACTGGTACACCACCCTCAAAAAAGACCCCTGTGTAAAAGAGGGAGATAGGGTGGGGCTGCCTGACCATAACATGGAAGTGGGGGGGGTGCACCTGACAGATCCAACTCACGTATTAATATAATTTTTTTCCATTCAAAAGGATGATGGTTTAGAATGGAACGAATGACCCTTCGTATGGAAGCAGCGAAAAGGGGTCTATCGCATCAGGATCATTGAGGAAGGATGTCGCCAAAAAGTGTATCGCCCAATGATCCCGATCGAGGACCTCCCCCTGGACCCCGACGAGTGGAAATGGACCCAAGGTACCAGGCCTAGAAAAAGGGGGGCTGACGTGTTATCACTATATAACCTAAAATCTAAATCAGCCTACCGTATGCTCAGACCCAAAAGGGGGCTGCAAAATCGTGTGGAAGACAAATGGTACTGCCATCTTAATATTGATCGCAGCCTGCTCTAGCCCATTCGATGGTTTGCACAGTATAGTTGCAAACCCGCAAAATCTCTGCCCTCCAATGGCAAATAGAACACAGATGTTTACCTACTAACGACTGGTTGATAGACCACGCCCACCTGGAACAACAAGGGAAGGCGCTGCCATGGTGTCGTAAATGCCTCCAGAGCTACCCTGGGAGGAGGCGGGCTGAAACTATTGAACACATCTTTCTTCAGTGCCCTGGGTCAGTACTTCTGTGGAGAACCTGGGATAGGATCTGGAGGCATATTGTTCCCGGCGCGGAATGACCATGGGATTGGAGGGCTATACTCCTGGGGTACTACCCGCAAATTCGGGAGAATATCTTTGAGGAGAACATGTTCAACTTGGGAAGAAGGAGCGTCCTGTGGACCATATGCTGGAAAAGATGTATCCTTGAGATAGAAGGGGTGCGGGTAGAGGATGGAGAAGTTATGGAACAGATCAAGGCATTATTCCAGCACGAAATTGTGACTCAATGGAAGACTGTTAAAGACAAGCTTGACCAAATGCACAACTGGGGGACATAAACAAAACTATTTCTTGCTTCCGCAATAATTGGTTGGGAAGGGAAAGGGAGGGATGGGTGGCCGAGGGAAAATGGTCCAGGAGCGATCAGTCTGAGAAGGGACCACAGGAGGAACCCGGGATAAAGATAGAAAGGGATTACCGGTTGATCTTCCATGATTGGACCAAAGTAGACCCTGGAGAATCATTAAGGGCAGCTCAGGACTTCGCGGACCCCACCCTCTCTCCTTAACAGAAATTTTGCTGCCTGCATAAGCCAAGGGACCCAACATATAGCATTTGTTCTCAAGCCCTCCTACTGGCATCTTTTGGGTCACTGTCTTCTCCTTTGTGCCTTCGTCTGTCTTCCTTTCCTTCGTTCTTCCGTTCTTTCCCCCTTGTTTCTCTTATCTCCTTCATCTCCCTCCTTCATTTATTTTTCTCTCTTTCATCTCCTTCTCAATAGTCGTCAACATTCTTCAACAGTCTTGCCTAGTCTGAATACGTTGGTGGTTTGGACCTAGTTACAAATTGTAACATAGTCTCGTAAAAGAATACAATGTTCATCAATGTGATACAATAGGCACCTTGTGGGCTTGTCTCTCAGGGAAGTTTTGTTGTAGTATACTTCCAATAATTCTCATAAATTCTTAGTATTCTTCAGTATTTCTCAAAAAGATTTCAGTTGATTTCAGTTGATTTCAGTTGATTTCACTGCATCCTGTTTTTCTGTTGCTTCAACTTTTTCAAAACACATGCTATTGCAGAGTACAATGGGCTCCATGAGGATCGTGGGTGGATGGCAGATGCTATGGGATGGAGCGAGACTCCACTGGTGCCCCCCGGTGGTCCCCCGACCCTGCTGCAAGTTAGGTATGGAAGAGTAGAGTGGATATGGGACGCTGGACCCGGTTTCCAGAACTTTGGCATCACTCTCATTGATGTACTGTGTAGCAAAGACGTATTTATGGGACGTTGGACCCGGTTTCCAGCAGGTGTTGCTCCCCACCAATAGATGGAGCGGCCCACTAGGCAAAGCCTCAATCCCGGTGGTTCTCTTACCACCACCAGGATAGAGGTCTTGCACAAGGGTCTTCCGATAAATAAAAAAAAAAAAAAAAAAAAAAAAAACGTTAAGTTTGAGCTGGGATGGAGATCATGGACTGTAACGTCAATTTATGTGCCTACAGATTACAACGAAAAGATAAATTTCATTGTCGAATTACCGGGAATTATACTAGACTCGGACATCCTAATCATTGCAGTGAACTGGAATACCACACTTAACCGAGATTGGACAGAGCGGGACCAATTAGAGCCGACAGTAGATTATTACAAAGCTTAATGATTTCCCAAGATCTGGTGGATGCTTTTAAGGTATTACACCCCATTTTGCAAGAGTACACTTGGTTCGGGTCACAGACCCCTCCAACTCGCAGAAGACAAGACTATCTGTTGATGAAAGGTCATCAATTGCAAGAGTGCATTGCTATGGATATTTTGTTCTCAGACATGTCTGACCACATACCTGTGGTAGGGGAATTTCAAATCAGTGAAGCTCCTAAAAAGAGACCGTCTTATTATAAGTTGAATGTGTCGTTACTGAAAGATTTGGGTGTCACCCAATGGACCCAACCCCAGCTGACGTCATGGCAGGAAGTAAGAGATCTGTTTAATACAAAGGAAGACTAGGTGGAGGTAGAAATTCAAATTCTGCAACGTACGTTTAATGTTTTTTCTCAAAT